CGTCAATCAGGCTGGCAGGGGGGCCGTTAGGCATTGATCAGGCTGGCAGGCAGAAGCGGTTAGGGGCAATCAGGCAGGCAGGCTGGCAAGCGGTTGGGAGCCAGCAGTCCCAGATTGTGAGAGGGATGTCTGACTGCGCGTTTAGGCCTGATCCCGGTGGGCAGTAGGACATCCCTCTAGGGGTCCCAGATTGGAGAGGGTGCAGGCTGGGTTGAGGGACACACACACACCCTGCACATGAATTTTGTGCACCGAGCCTCTAGTTAGATAATAATTTCTTACCCATGTTCTGTCTATTTTAATAATATATTTCTTCTACATTAGACTCCAGCTCCACAAGATTAAGAACAACATCTATTTTATTTATCAACATAGCCAAAGTATGTCACACAATCCTGAAAAAGTTGTTGGCATTTAAGAAATAGTTGAAAATAAATACTTGATATTTAATAAATAAATATATAAATAGTTAAATAGATAAACTTAATTGCTAAAATTAAATTGAAAGCATGTGCAATGAAAGTCTAATACTTTCACTATTTTGACAATTTATTCTTTAAATGTAATTTTCCTCAAATGCCAGTGTATACATTTTATTTATTCAAATAAAAAATTTTGAATAAATAAACAAGTGATTTCTTTTTTGCTGGATAATATTTTGAAGTCCCTGTTATATATGTGCATTCATATGAATGTTTATATATAGGTTTATTTTCATAAATGCTCATTCACTTCAAAATTCACTGACAATAATAATTCATTCATTCTTAAGTTCATTTAGAACAGTTATAGAAAAGTGCACAATAAAATTTGTCTAAAAATTGCAGGTTCAAGAAAGGTTGTATTTCTAGTGATTTGTCCAAGCAAAAAATGTTCTAGTACCATAGGCCAGAAGTTGAAATTTTATGGGTCATGAGCAACTGTTGCAACTAATCTTTATTTTGCATGGAAGTCAAACAGCAACTTATGTTTGTCATTTACAAGCTAAAACAATGTCTGCTGTGGCCAGAATCAAACTAGAAAACAGTAAAATCCATATCACTTCAGACAAATGTTCTTTGCATGGTTAATGTAATCAAGCAATCATCTGAAGATAGCACTCTGTCTTCATTTTGAAATGTGTAGAAATAAGTAAAGATCCAGAGAGTTTAATAAAAATATTATAAAAAAAAGAATTATACAAGGTACCAAGAACAATTACAAAATGGAAAATGATCATTTACTGAGTAAGTAAAGTTGTATCAAAAATAGCATTCTGCAATATACCTCAAAGTAAAGAGAAAAGAACCCCTCAATTATATCAGAAGAATAGTAAGTGGTAAAGCAAAGTGGTGTAATAAAGTGGAAAGGAAAACTGATTTTTTAAAATGTTAATAAAAATATGAGCTTCCACTCTGCCCAGTGTTGGTCAGTGGTTAGCCCACACACCAAAGGGTCACAGATTCGATTCCTGGTCAAGGACACATACCTGGGCTGCAGGCTCGATCCGCAGTCCTGATCAGGGTAATGCAGGAGCCAATCAATCCATGTGTCTCTCTCACATCAATGTTTCTCCCCCCGCAACCCTCCCTCCTACTCTCTCTAAAAATCAATGGAAAAAAATATCCTCTATGAGGATTAACAAAACAAAACAAAAAAACAAGCTTCCAATGGATGCATCCAAGAACTTCAGTTTCTATAAAAAGTGATAAAAAGTGACTTTAAAACTATTTTAGATGATGTCCTAATTGGTAGAATAAGAACCCAATCTTAGTTATTATTCATGAAATAATCATACTCAGGCAACTAACTTATTTGGGAGTCTGTTTGGTGAGGGAAGAATGGTAGTGAGAAGCTCAGAAAAACACCTAGGAAAAGCTAATGTGACCACTTCAAAGATATATATTTCTTTAAAGGAAGAAAAAAGTACTGATATTTGAGTGAGTTTATATCTGAGATTCGATCATTTCTTCTCAAGGTCCAGAGAACGTTTATCTGGATGAGCTTAAGCAGCCATCTTCTTCATGCCTACTGCTGAGCAAGTTATTATTACCAGAGAGAGCCCCAGAATAGGGAATAATGCCACAATGGATTCCAACTCACTAATTTCAAATTGGTCTTCAGCAGTGCCTGGCAATTCTACCCACTACTTTGGCCAACTGACTCTTTCTGCAATATTTCAACTTTTTTTTTTACTTTCCTCAGACTATTACCATGTAGCAACACTCTATTTCAAGCATCAATCATCTCTCACCCAAAGCAAAACAACAGTCAGGTAACTCATTTCCCTACTTCCATTCTTTCCATCCTTCAGTCCATTCCCCAGACTAAAATCTGATTACTCTCCTTCCCTAATTGAATTGCATCAATTACTTTCCATGAGACAAAAAAAAAAAAAATCTATAACCTGTATTACAAGTTTGTCTCAAACCATTTTCCCCCTTCACTTTCTGTGTTTCAATTACCCTTTCATTACTCAAGTGTATAATGCTTCTCTCACCCTGACTCATCATGTGGATTCCTAGGGCTGCTGTAACCAACTACATAAACTGAGTGCCTCAGAACAACAGAAATCTATTGTCTCTCGGTTCTGGAATGATGGTGTTGTCAGGGCCATGCTCCTTCTGAAAGCTGTAGGAAAACCCTTTCTTTCCTCTTCCAAGCCTCTGGGGATTTGCCGGCAGTCTATGGAATTCCTTGGTTTGTAATGCACACACAGTCCTCCGTCTTCACAGGGCCTTCTCCATGTATTTCTGTTTCCAAATTTCTTCTTTGTACCAGTCACTGGATTAAGACTCACCCTCATGACTCATTTTAACTTCATTCCCTATATAACGACTCTCTTTCCCAGTAAGGTCACCTTCTCTGATACTGAGAGTTAGGATTTCAATGTATCTTTTTTAAGGGGACACCATTCAAAACTTAAAAGCCAACCATTAGCATAGGATTTTTTCACATAGTGCTTCTTGTCCAAGAAGTCTTCTTTGCAACTCCACCTTTCTGCCACCTTGCATAGTCACCTGTCCAACTTTCAACCCAGAATGACTATACCTAGGGAAGATTGATTCACAATCCTAATATATAAAAACCCAGGGTCCATAATGCTCAAAATGACTGAAGGCTTGGCCGAATGCCAGGTTGTGCACGCAGCAGGCTCCGGTGGGCGGGGACTGGAGAGTGAGCTGAACTGCTGACCTCTCTGGGAGAGTGAGAGGCAGGGCTGATCAGTGGCTACCACGGCTGCTGGAGAGGCCCGGAAAGAATGAGAAGCAGGCCGCAGATCAGACCCTGCTTCTTTCTCTTTCTGGGCCTCGCCAGCAGCCTTGCCTCTCTCTTTCTCTCTCTCCAAGAGATCAGCAATTCAGCCCACTCACCAGCAGCCTGGGGTGGCTGTTGATCAGCCCCACATCTCTGATCAGTCCCAGAGATAGGCCCAGAGATGCTGACTGGCATAGAACCTGACCAATCAGAACTAAAGCTGGGTGAACTGAGAAGGGAGAACCTAAGGTGGGGCCTGAAGAGGGGTTTTAAGGGGAACAGCTGTTTGGTGTAAGGTGTAAGAAAGCGGTTCAATTTTTTAATGACCGGTTTGGCAGTATAGTGCGTATGGCTGGCTATCGGGCCAGATATGCTAATTAGACTGGGTCAACCGGCCATCTTCCAGGCGTCCAACTTCCTTCTGGACAAAGCCAAGGTGGTGGGGGCCAAGGTAGAGGCAGTTAGGGGCGATCAGGCTGGCAGGGGAGGGCAGTTGGGGGCAAGATCAGGTCAGCAGGGGTTTAGGGGCAATCAGGCCAGTAGGGGAGGTCAGTTGGGGGCAACCAGGCCTGCAGGGTAGGGTAGTTGGGGGTGATATCAGGCCAGCAGGGGAGGGAAGTTGGGGGCGAGATCAGGCTGGCAGGGGAAGGCAGTTGGGGGCAAGATCAGGCCAGCAAGGGAGGGTAGTTAGGGGCAATCAGGCAGGCAGGCAGGTGAGTGGTTAGGAACCAGCAGTCTGAGATTGTGAGAGTGATGTCTGACTGCCGATTTAGGCCCCATCCCTGTGGGACATCCTCCAAGGGGTCTCCCATTGGAGAGGTTCAAGCTGGGCTGAGGGACACCCCCCCGACACACAAATTTCGTGCACTGGGCCACTAGTCTAAATATATTTTCTCAGTAAATGAATTCACGTGATCATATATGTCTGGCCTTTGTAACACCATATCTATAATTTCACATTTATTGGTGAGATTATTTGATTAATATCTATCTACTTCAGGGACCCTTCAGTCCGCAGGCTGATGCTCTAGCCACTGAGCCAAGCCAGCTAGGGCATCAAAGATATTTTTATAAAAATTATATATATTTATGTTGATAGTTACTATGAAAACTTTCATGATGCTGTATGAATTCAATTTTGGAAGTAGCAGGAAGGCATAGACGCAATTACACTTGATTTATTCATCTTTACTTGAATCCTGAACTTGTCTCTTCATGCTTTTAGATGGAAATGTTGATGATATCCTTCTTCATCTTGATCAATCATGTAGGTATTACCCATATTTTCACTAGAATATCTTTTAAAAACTTAAACATACCAAAGAAAAAATGGAGGTCTTGAGGTACTGAATTCATTTTTTAAGCACTTATTACTCACATTTCCAATTCCATTCAGCAGACCTTTATGAATGCTGATAATGTGCGAGGCACAGCACCAAATAATCAAAGCCTTTAACTTACATTATTTTTATTGATCTTGTCTTCACCCATAAGAGGTAGTTGTTCTTATTTCTATTTTTAAAATAATGAAGTTGAGGTTCAAAAAGGTTTAAAAAAATGACAAAATAGGATTTGAACCAAATTTGTCTGATTCCAAAGACTATGTTGTAGTTATTACTCTATGCTGCCTCTACCCAAGCAAAATCCTTAACAACTTGTTTACTAGAAGAGACAAGAACCCTGGCCACTGAAACTCCTTTGAAACTACTTTTAAAGCTTCACTAACAAGAGACTGACAAAATGGTTTATTTGTTTTCATATAGGTATATGGCCATTATTGATCCCTTGAAACCCAGACTGTCTGCCACAGCAACCAAGATTGTCATTGGCAGCATTTGGATTCTAGCATTTCTACTAGCCTTTCCTCAGTGTCTTTACTCCAAAACCAAAGTCATGCCGGGCCGTACTCTTTGCTATGTGCAATGGCCAGAAGGTTCCAAACAACATTTCACGTAAGTTAAGTTAGTTCTCTATGGTAATTTTCAATTCAATTTATTGAACAATTAAGGAACTGTAGGTTGGGAGCAACAATTAAACAGATAAGACATAGGCGTTTGCCTCAATGTGTCACATATTACTTGGGAAGACAGACACATACCAATATTAAAATACATTATGATATGGTCACTAAGTTGGTGTAAATTATAAAGATTTATAGTTGAAAAAAAAATGTAATGACTTCTGTATGGGACAGCTCTGGAGAATTTCCTAGAGGAGGTAATAAGCTCATTGGAGATGAAAGCAATGCCCAAAGGAAGACAGGGTTGTTATTGACTGAGAAATGAGTGAGAAGGGAGAAACTAGAGGCCAAAGGTGTTGATTGCTCTTTTAAGAAGCCTGGCTGAAGGGAAGGGGAGTCCTGGTAGGCTCTTGGTTGTGTTCCTTTGTTTTAAAATTAAAGAAATTTAAACACTAGGTTGAAAAGAAAATAGGAATGTTGTACGATAGAATTTGACATTTTATTTTTTGGACCCACCTTAAAAAAGATGAAATACTGCTATTTGTGACAACATGGATGGGTCCCGAGGATATCGTGCTAAGTGAAATAAGTCATAAGGGAAAAAGTCAAGAACAATAGGATTTAACTCATGTGGGATATAAAACTGAAAGCAACAAATGAACAATCAAGACAAAGAAATAAACAAAACTCATAGACACAGACAATAGTATGGTGCTGATCAGAGGGAAGAGAGGGTGGGGAAGTAGTAAAGGGTAAAGGGAGTAAAAAACAAACACTAAAGGTATTGAGAATATTAGCATACCAAACTCTGTAATTACTTTAAAGCCTCTTAAGAAAGAGGAAGCCAAACAAAAGTTTATACAAATTCTAATTCGGCTGTTATATTATTGTTTACCTTCTATTCCTCCCTAATTGCCTCCTTATAATTTTGATTGAAGGCTATGAAATCCTAGAATTTTGTTTGATAATGTATAGCATCATGACTTGGTTGTGACTGATCCGTCTCTATATTATTTACCAAATTAACAAGTCAATGAAATGTTCCATGACTTTGGAAAAATACAGGTAAATGTCTTTACCTGATTTTTAAAATCACTGTCAAATAGCTTGTGAATTCAATGTGGCTCACAGTATCGCATAACATTTTTTTTCATTTGGATGAAAAATAATTTATTTCAAGTATGAATGATGTCACTGAACATATAGAATAGTTTTACATAGAAGAAAATATCGTCAGTTGATTACTTTATTCTGTCCCATCTCTTTTCTTCTGACGATACGTTTAAATAGGTTAACCCACTAATTACCAAACAGAGGAAAGGCATTTATCCTGACCCTCTAGGCAAGGAGGTAGGGATGGGGTGAGGCATGGTTTAAATGAACACTGCAGCTCAGCTATGTTTTTCATGTATAAAGTAAAGATGGATTGAAATCAACTGGTAGCATTTGGACAACTGTAGGCGACAATAGCTTGGTATGTTAATGAGTGTGAAATGAAGACTTAGAGAAAACGTGGAAATATTCTTTAGCATTTTAAAATGTGATTTAAAATGACATGAATTCAAAATCCCACTATTTCATCCCAATATGCTCTTCAGCATTGAGTTTTGTTGTTGTTTTTTTAATTTCAGGTACCATATTATTGTCATTATATTGGTGTACTGTTTCCCATTGCTTGTCATGGGCATCACATACACCATTGTTGGAATCACTCTCTGGGGAGGAGAGATCCCGGGAGACACCTGTGACAAGTATCATGAGCAGCTAAAGGCTAAAAGAAAGGTACTGTTACATATGATTTACCTAGCATTTGTGTAAGTTGTGGCACCTCAGAGATCGAGAATACCTACCTATGGTATTTTAATACTGTATAATATCATTTGATGATTTGCTTCTACTTTTATTTGTCTCATGTTTTCTTTCTTTTTATCCAATTTTTCTTTTGCTTTTTTCTTTTATCTTCTATAAGCCACTGATCATGTGCAATTTCAGTCTGTGGTAGAATAGTCACTTCCTTACAGAAAGACATTTTATTACCTTGTTCAGAGTATCCTCAAGAAACTTCTGAAATCTTACTTTAAGTGGAGTCCCATTTACTATATTTCTGAAGTTCTAGCTATGTTTCTCCTTTATTTAACAGAATCCTCTGATGCACTTTATAATTTTCCAGAAGCTTCTTTGATCCCAATAATGGCATCTCTTTTATATGTTATAATTTCCTAGTACCCATTTCCCTACTTTCCTGACACTGTTCCTCACCCTTTCCCTCACCCCACATTTGATTTCTACACAGCCATCATGTATATCTGATTAAAAGATGAGAGTTGCGTTAATACTCTTCTACAACTTATTGGGTGACATTACAAAGCCAACTTCTGAATATTCACAGGATTGTTCAACAAATATTCAAAGATTAAACAAGAAATGCTCTAAAATTATAATATTGACATTTACCAGGATTTTTAATTAAGATTTTATTCAGACTACCATTATGTGACTCAGTGAGTGAGATTTTTCATAAATTTGTAGAGTTAAAAAGAATCACAGTCACGTATTCCATCTCCCTCTCTCCAACTGATGTGTACCTAATGCAAATCTGAGAGATTTTTCCAAGGATAAGAGAGTCATGCTAATTATGCCAATTATTATTTATTCAATTTATGGTTCACTTATTTATGTAGAACTACCTACTACATGGGATATTTCCCTTAAAAAAACACTGAACATCTTAAAAATCCCTTACCTACAAACACTCACTTAACAATAATAAAATTAGGTTTTAAAAATTTAATGTAGAAAATGGATTCCATTTTAGTACTAATATGTTTTTCTTCTGTTTTTGACAAATAATGGTAGATAAGACTTACTTTCAGTTAATTTATTATGATCTCTAGTATTTGAAAACAAAAAGTATACATGGTCTTTTCTACCTCAATAATTTCAGCCTATAATACTTATTTTTTATTTTATTTCTCTTTTTTAAAAAAATCTTGAAAATGAAGTGCACAAACCACCACATTATGCTTTTAGCATCTAAAAAAGAATCCTAAAACTAGGAGAATTTCAATAACTTGGTTGTCTTAAGTGAACAGTTTCTCTTTTGCAATTTCAACCTTCATTTCATAACATCCAGGTGATCTTTGGGGGGATATTTTCTTATACCTATGTTTTAGGCAACATCACATAAAATAACTGATGTGATGTTCTACATATTTCAGAATAATTTCTGCCTTGCTATTACTCACTTAGTTTCCTGTCTTTTGTTTCTTATTGGTTTAGGCATCTTTTTTTTTTTCCTTAACAGTTTACCCCTGTTCACTCCTAGAAAATTTTAAATAAGTCCAATAATTGTATATTATAGCTCCTTTTTCTTCATATACATGTAATATTTTTCTAGCAAGAAATTAAAATTTAATGAATGTTACTTTTTATTTTTGCACTGAGTCCCAGAAGGAACAAAAATAAGAGAAGATACTCTGCCTTTGCCTCTGTATAACTTACAAAAGTAAGGCATAAATATTTCCTTATGATTTCATTCTGTAATTTTAAAGTATAAATATCAACTTAAATGGAGAGTGTAATCCTTTTAGAATGTTTAAAAAATATAACACATTTAAATTTTTCAGTCCATATGTCTTTCTCTCAGATTGTGTTCTAGGTTGAAATAATACAAAATGACATTTATGTTATGGACTTCCTATAATAAATTACCTTGTTCTTAGAGTGCTTTCACAGTCATTTATTGGTATTACTGTATCTCAAAAGTAACACTGTTTTCCAAAAATTTTAAATTTCAGAATATAGCTAGCTCTCCTCTAAATTGCTTTGTTTTTAAATCCAAAATTAAATATTGTCTGGTATGTTTGAAAGAGTTATTTCTAGTAATTGTGCTATATTTATACTTTAATATGTCTACTTAGGTCTAAGATATAGTAAGTCCTTCTCTGAATGGGCCAGGTAATTATATACTGTCTCATAGAAAATACATCTTTGAAGTTACAGATTTGACTTCAGAGATAAAAATAAGAGAGTTATTGATTAAAATAGTGCAAATTCATTCTGACTGTTGGGAAAAACAACAACTCCATGAACAACACCGAGCCAACCTCCTAGCAATAAATAATAGTGAATGTTGATTAAGATCCCAAATACATATGAACTGGAATAAGTAAAAATTTGTCAAATCACTGAGAAAATCTTTGCAACTATTGAGAAGCATTGCTTCCATTATTCTTTCTCCTTCAATCTTTAGGAATTATGCTTACTTTCAAACCTTATAGATTAAATTCTTTAAAGAACAGCCAGTAGAAATAAATTACATATCTATTATACAGAACCTTGCATGTCTAAAAAGTTTCAGAATAACAATCCCCACTTGATCTTTGCATATGTTCTGTCGAAATATGTATTCCCTTTGAAAATAATACTAGTAGATCTAGCTAGCACTAAATATTAAAAAGATGAAACATTAGTCTTAAAAAATAAATTAATATCTCTAGAAATATTTTCTTATTAAAAAAATTAATTTATTGAAGAACCTAAAAATCAATATTAAAATTCTATGGCTCCAAACAACTTACTAAGATCTAGAACAGTGATGGCGAACCTATCAAACTCATTTTTTGGTTGATTTTACTTTGTTAAATGGCATTTAAATATATAAAATAAATATCAAAAATATAAATCTTTGTTTTACTATGGTTGCAAATATCAAAAAATTTCTATATGTGACATGGCACCAGAGTTAAGTAAGGGTTTTTCAAAATGCTGACACGCTGAGCTCAAAAGGTTCGCCATCACTAGTCCAGAGGATAATCTATAGAATTGACTAACATTTGAGTCACATGTATAGTATACTTCTAAAAATGTTAGCAAGCACATTAATAAATTTTCTAATATAAAGTATTTTATAATTTAAAAAGACTTTGAATACCTCATAACACAGCCAAAGATATTCTCAATTTATAGCAAATATTCTAGGTTTTAAAATTCTGCATGTTATGTACCCATTGGCTTTAAATATGTCTATTTAAATATGTATATTGACTTAATAGTCTCTTTAATGTAACAAAGTAGTTAACATAAGAATGCTTGCACTTGAAATAGAAATACCTTCAGACAATTGCAAAATATAAAACATCACACAAAACTCAAGATCTTGTCTAAGTTAGTGCTTTTTTTTGTGGTTATTATTTAATATTTTTATCAACATCTTCCTTGAGGAAATGTGTACAGACTACTGTAGGATTGATATAAAATGTTTTTGCAGTTCAAAAAATCTCTTCTAGAATAATAGATCTTATCAGAACCTAAAATTTCATGAGTCTCTTGCCTTATTGCTATTTTGAATTAAAATCAAATGCAGTGTAAGGAAAAATAAGCAAAGGGAGCTAACAGATCTCATATTTAGGATGTTTTGGTAAAATAAATCAAATACACTCTTTAATTGTTTTTTTCAGTTTTGGCAGTAGCATCTGTTTCCGAAATATCTAGATGTAAAACATAGATGTTGACTCATAAGCCATTGAATATTTATTTGAGTTAAATCTTATGTATAACTAGAGGCCCAGTGCATGAAATTCATGCACCGGAAGGGGGCTGTCCCTCAGCCTAGCCTGCACCCTCTCCAACCTGGGACCTAAACCAGCAGGGATCAGCCCTAAACTGGCAGTCGGACATCCCTCTCACAATCTGGGACTGCTGGCTCCCAACCACTCTCCTGCCTGCCTGCCTGCCTGATTGCCCATAACCACTTCTGCCTGCCAGCCTGATCACCCCCTAACCACTCCCCTGCCAGCCTGATTGCCCCCTAACCACTCCCCTGCCAGCCTGATCAACACTTAACTGCTCCCCTGCTGGCCCGATTGCTTCCAACTGCCCTCCCCTGTTGGCCATCTTGTGACCAATGGGGGCAGCCATCTTGTGCGAGGGCTTGACAGTCAATTTGCATATTGCCTCATTATTATATAGGATTAGTATATCTGTATGACTCCAATTTTAACTCATACACTTCGAAAACAAAAGATTTGCAATCCATCTCTCCTAGTATTATCCCAAAGTAAGACTACATTCTTGGCAATTTGGATGAAAAAAAAAAGTAATGGCATTGAAATTATTGACAATGACAAAACTTATCCCAAAATATATTGGAGTCTGCCAGCATCTTGGAATAACTATTTAGAAGATAAATGCTAGAAGTCTAGTGATTAGCAAGATGGGAAGAAAATAAATTATACTAATTAATAGATATATAAGTTGAACATAAAACATACATAATATGTAAATGATTAAATTATTAAATTTATCTATATGAAAAATAAATTGTGGCTAGATAGGGAATGAAAATAGTTATATCAATTTCAATTCATTCATCAAAGGCTATTTATTAAATGTTTCTATTGTGGAAGTACCATGGACAAAATTTTTCTCATATCAGGAAAAACATTTGCAGCCTTGTGATATCCTTTAAATCAGGTAAAGAAAAATGGACTATTGTAAACTGTATTACTATTGGTTGAATGTGGATGCTTCAGGTGTGCTGATGAAGAGAATGATGTCCATCTGGATGGAGTGTTTGAGGGACATGCTACAGGGCTCATACCTCAGTATTAACTTGTTCAAAATGATCAATAACAAGAATATCAGTTCTGTGACCATGATAAATAAATTGACAGGTAAAGACAGGATATTCAATGACTGAATTAGGAACTGAGCGCCGTGCCATGTGACTGGTAGGTTGCATATGCTATAGCGTCTAGATCTCTTGGCTGACTAGAAAGAAT